TCTGCATTTCTAGAATCCAGCAGTAAATAACAGAAACCAGAAGCACTGGTGGTGATAGTTGGCAGGTTTCTGCTGTTGATGGTTGGCTTTTTTTTAACTAGCTGATTAATTTTGGACTGTATTCATCTCCAGCATTGTGACTACACTTCATATAGCAATTTACTTCAAACCACAGTGTGCTTCTCCAGCCAAGTCTTTGTTTTGTAAATGTCATTGCACTTCAACATCATTAACCAGCCATCCCTATTCCAAGCTGATATTCCTAAATTCAGTATCAACAACACTACAACTGAGCCAAATGAAAACAGAGAATGTATTTGACTCCATACAGCTCTGAGTGCCAGTGAACTATATTAATCATCTCTGGGAAAGTTCAGGTCAGCTGATTACTGGGACTCACTACTGTTATCCATCCCAAGACCATTCCCATTCCCCATGGAACATGTCAGATGAAAACTTTGTGCTTATGGACTTTATGAATCAACTGGGCATTAACTTTCAAGCATTTTACTGACAACCAGGAATCATGGGCTTCATCCCTGCTACAGCCAGGTTCCCTCTCCACCTGATCATTCATGTCCTTTCCAGTTGCCTGCTTGGATTAGATAGTAACAGGGCAAAGCAGCATGTGTGCACACCAAGGTCAGGGCAACTCCAGCTCTTAGAAACAGCAGCAAGTCCCCATGTCTCCATTCCATATGAAGAAGGTGGTAAGCACAGCTTTGCCAAACCCCTTGGGGCAAGGAGTGAGCAAAACAGTGATACAAAGCTAGTCTTCCCTCCTGTAATTGGGAGAACATGGGAACATCTGGCTCTGCCACCTGACCCCCCCCAAGGTCAAAATAACTGGGAGAACATGGGAACATCTGGCCCTGCCACCTGACCCCCCCCAAGGTCAAACATACCCTGTTTCAGAGAAACAACACAAAATTATTGCTTTATGATCAACATGCTCTCATTCACGAAAGCTTTCTCTTGAGAGACTGAGTGAACTGCTGCAAAAACAAGAAGTGCAAAGAACAGTAATTCTTTTAAACTGCTTAGCTGAAATAAAGCTTTTCACTGTATCTCTGATAGATGCTAATTGTTGACTGAAAAGTGATGTAGATTTAAAAGTATCTTGTTCTGCCTCTCTGCGGAGACCATCAGCAGAACAAATAAATTACCACTGTTTGGATTCTCATTACCTCAAATTAGCCTCGGCATAAGATGACAGGAGCAGAGCCAAACTAGCTGTGGGTCCTTACACAGCACCTGTTAGCACTCCATAAAGGACAGAGAAAAGGGAGGGCAGGTTCTCTCTACTGTGTGCCCACAACAAAGCTTCCTTGTCAGACTATTGATACCTCTTCTGACAGCAACGTTCAGTCTGCACACTCACACCACTTTTAATCCACTAACAATGAATCAGTTGCCTTACTTGGAAGTGTCCCCAAGGAGTGCAGGGACTGCATGAGGGAATTGGGGGGGGGAAAAGAAGGATGACTGTGCCAAGTAACATCCAGTATCACCACAAAGGCATAAATCTAAACCAATACATTTGTTTACATGCAAGCCTAAAAAAAAAAAAAGATTGGGAGAAAGAAAACACTAAACTCAAAGGAGAATCTTCGGGTTATCAAAGCAGAAAGTTAGTTACAAGATCAAAGCATCTCATTTGATCATTCATATAAATAGTTGTGCAGGGTACTTCAGGCTGTAGTCACAGAACACACCTTTGGATGGAACAAACTGCCCTGCTCCAAAATGCATCCAAAACAAAGCCAGCTGTGAAGAGCCCCAGGATGACAAATGAGGATCATTACAACAGGCACATCCTCCTCTGTAACACTGCTCCTATCACAGCTTGGAATGCTTACACATCTCATGCACTTACTCCACCTTGCCTGTGACTCCATCTGGAGCAGAGTCACATCTGTACAGTGACTAATACCATGGTTATGACTTTTAGGCCACACCATGGACCAAAGCATTATGAGAAAGTGAATCCTGCAGCTTTCCATGAAACCCTCCCCCAGGGCCTGGTTACATTCAACATGCTAAACACCCAAAAGTTTTTTGACACTGTGATTTTACAGGAGCTGATTCTGATGATGTGCTTCCCAAGCAGCCAGCTGGCCTTTCATTCCTGCCTCTCTCCCTTCCTTCCCTCCTGCTACTGATGGGAAGGGCACTTTACAGCCTGCAGTTCATTCCAATGTGCCTCTTCCTACTCAAATCAGGTGTTATCAGCAACAGCATTCAAGACAGACATTCAAGCAAAACACATCCATGCAGCAGCCTGATTTATTAAGTGTTGGAGCAAAGACTGGCTTGCTAAGATTGAAAGTTTTAAATGGGAAAAAAACACTGGGATTGAACTGCAGTGCTAAGGTTGTCATATGCATGGATTGGGCACTAGCCCAAATACAACAATCCTGCCCACAGCTGTGGTATATTTAATCAAGTCCTACCAACTAATTATTTTGCACAGCTAAATACAGCACCTGTGGAAATTGTCTTATTTCAGCTGTGGGCAGAGCTACTTCAATAACTTTTTCGATTGCAAGAAGAAAAAACCAAAACAAAAGCTCTGCAATCCAAAATATCCACAGTTAACTGCAGTACCCAGGCAGTGTAGGGGGAATATTTAACCAAACTCGTATCAAAACTTGTACTCACACAAGAAAGCTCTTTCCTATTATTATTTGTGACATCTAATTGCAGGTCCTCAGAACTGTATTTGGACTTCTATGAAAGAATATAAACAGATGAGAACTCAAAAATCCCCAAAGCATTCTCTGTGTGTCCCCACACCTTGCAAAAGAGCTGATCTCTTTTCCCACTGAAATTTAATTCCCACCACTATGTTCTCTCAGAGCTGGACTCCTGCAAATCCATTTCTTATACCACAGTAGTCTTGAGAATGATTTCATCAGTATGGGTATAATATTGAACAGTATAGTCAGCTTTAAGTGCATAAAAAGCAGTTAAGATTTCTTTTCCCCAGCAGCAGGCAGCAAGGCTAACTACTGCTTTGCTTTGACTACACTAACAGTACTAGAAATGTGTAAATATAAAAGCAAATTGTGCATGAAAATAGTACAAGTAAACACCACTACATACAAATGAATAAAGTGCCTTTTTTTTTTAGCAGGTCTGAGTCAGTTCCCACTGCTGCAAGAAACATGAAATCTGAAAGGCACCTAAAAGCTTCTAAAATCAGGATATTTCTTTCCTCAGACTGTAAAATGTGCTGTTGGCACACTCACTTGATCATTCAGAACAGCAACAAACGAAAACAGATCAGGACAGTTAATTCAATGCAAAGATCTCCCCTCTCAGTAAATGTCTTGCACAGTAACAGTCTTAGCAACAATGTTTATCCAGCACAAGATAAAGAAAGGCTTTTCGCTGACACCTGGGACAAAACCAAAGAATAAAAGCAGCTCCCAACGCAAGAGAGCAAATTACATTTTTCACCTGTTCCCACCTAGCTCAGACAGAAGGCAGCCACAGCAAGTCACAACAAACAATTTACCCACTTCCAGAAAATGCTTGTAAATTTAAACTGTGTGAAATGTCTAACTACCTCTTTCATTCCATCAAAAGCCTTCATCAGCAATGGACAATAAAGCTGCTGGCTTGACCCAAAGGGGCTGTAGGTTAATCTATTCTGACCTTATCTTTACTCAAACATAATACTGAAAGATTGCTTGAATGAATAACCAACACTGAACAATGCCAACAGCCACCCTTTCACTGCAGTGCTCCTCTGAAGTGCCCCCAACCCAATTTTTTAATCATGGGGGATATTAAACATTTTCAAAAATAATTGTAAAACAAACTAAAATGTCACTTCTCACTCATTGGTACAAGACAAAGAATGGAGAAATAAAAGAGAAACACAAGCAGAAGAAAAATTTTCTCTTGCCCTTGCCTGTCTCTTTCAGACTTCCACCATCACTTACTGCCAATTTTAGATAATATGCTATCTCTTATTAACTGTCAATCACAGCTTTTATTTATAGTATTTTCACTCACATGGAAGAAAGTAGGCAAAAAAAGGTACTACTTGATAAAACTTGCTTTGTAACAATGGGCTTAATCATACAGGCATCAACACTTGGCATTTTAATAACTACTGGCTTGTTTTCAAAACCCATTCCATGAGGGTGCTCAGCACTAAACACAGCAAGTTAAAATTAAGCACATAATTAGGCCCACAGAAGTCAGTAAGCTGCATTCATCATTCACTGGCTCATTTAATCACTCAACTCTCATATGTTTAAAGTTCACAGCCCATGTTTAAATTTCCTTCTAGAGAAAACTCTCCAGTGCTCAACACTATAATGCACAATTCTACTCAAGTATTTTCCTCCCTGCAATAGTACAATAACCACCTGTATGAAGGAAATACATAGTCCTCTATCAGCCTGTTAGAGGAAGGTAGCTTTGAGAACAGCAAGAGTTATGGGAACAGACTTTCACAGCACAGGCTCCTTCATGCATTCACATCTGACTGTGTGGCCATAATTCTTGAAAACAGATCACTCTCCATGTGACCTACCAAATAGTGAAGCATTTTGATATGAAGCAAGAGCTGTGTTCTCATTTGACATAGAGTTAGAGCACTTATTCCTCAGCATCAACAAACAAATGCATTTTCATTTAATGTTCTATACCTGTAAATTGTTTGACAACACAAGAGAATGTCAAGAAGTACAACCATCAGGCACCAAAATGACATTTGAAAATGCCTTTAAAAAAACCCCATGCCAGCCCCAGGAACAAGGTCTAAGTTTAAATCCATTCCTAATTAGGAACACCAGTCAAGATTAAGTGCCATCACCTTTTTCCAAAAGCACAATCAGCAAAGAACAGGAAAGTAAACCATAAATAGTGACTACAGCATGAGATGCAAGAAAAATGAAACACAAAAGGTACGACCTTTTCCCCTGGATTGCAGAGGATACTGTTATCATCTACTCACAGGACTACAGCACCTTAAAGGTTCCTACCTTGAAAAGCTGTGATATGACCAACAATCATGTACTTCAGTTCAAAGTTCAGTGCCTGGATACTTTGAGTCCTCTCCCTTCGAACAGCTGCCTGGTAGCTTTCTTCCATTTTTCTGGTGCAACATGTTGGTGCTCTGTGTTGACAGATCTGTAAATCTGACTCTGAAAGAAAAGAAAAACCTTTTAACTTACACCATAAAAATAATGCTTCTTAGTGTCACAACCACCACGTTTTAATTTTGAAACAAAACACAACCCACCAGGAATGACATTGGGAAACTCAGTTGTTATCACAAGGACACAAATTTATGACTTTCATCTAAATTTGGGTAGCATCACATTATCAGATGACAGGATACTTCATACTGTAAAGAGCATTGGACACAAAAAACATCTGAATAGAGTCAAAGACAACAGAATCACTGAAAATGCACATTCAAAAGAGCAACATTTCCACTGTACACATTGTGCTAAGGGTAACAAAACTTGAGCATGTGAGTGAAAACCATGCCTCAAATTCAGATCCAGTACTCACCCATGCAGTGCCTCAAGGAATCACCCTATTCACTCACCTCTTACATTAGGGAAAGCCTCTCAGAATTCTTTGAACTCCTAAGCAGCTCACAAAAGAAATAAAAAATTGCAAAGGCACTGAAATCACTCCAACCTCACAACTACAGAGAAAGTTGAAAGTCAATTAAAAGTCTGATTTTTTGTAAAATGTTTTTGCTTCTTTTAAATCATTCCATCTTTGTCTGTGTTTCAGTAAGTTTAGTATCCTTGATTAGGAAACCTACATCAGAGCTGTGATGGACACTTAGGGTCTGTTTGTTTTACACCACAGCATTGGCAGGAGTCAGAAAGGAGCTGGTACACACTGCAGATGAATATATTCTGCTGCTTCACAACTGTATGTTTAAGAAGGGAAAGGAAAAAAACCAAGGGACTATTAGGAAAGCTAATCTAAAACCAAAGGCACACGTAAAAAATACCAGAGCCAAAACAGTCACACCGTATTAAAAAGCAGATATTTCCTCTCCAATTTCTCAGCAGAACAAGAACTCCCCAGCAGCAAGTCTAGTGCCAGTGGGTCAGTGCTTCCTTCTCTCCACCTCAAGGCAGAAACAGGCCCTCAGGAAAAAGGGGCTGCAGGTGTCCAATTCCACCCCATCCCTCAGGCTCTAGGGAAGGAGACAGCCTGTTCCAGGACAGCCAGTGCCAGGCAGGGAGTCAAGCTCCCTGTTCCCACCCCACCAATGGTTTTAGTGCCCCAACAACCACACTGCACTAACACTCAGACCTGGCCTTGCAGGTTAACACACAGCAAGGCCCACTCTGCTGACTAAGATGGAAACAAGAGGGAACAAGGATGCACACCGAAAAAATCTAAAATAAAAAAAATAAAATCAAGAGACACCAGAATGACCAGGCTTTGCTCAGAGCCAGCTCCAGGTCAGCAGCTCACTGAGACCAAACCCACAGGGAGCAGCTTCAATATATCTCCCTTGACGAGGTGGGGGGGGGGAAACAAAAAACACCAAGCTAGCTGGAACATCTCACTGGACTTGAAAAATGTGGCTTCCAGTTTATAGCAACTCTCATTTGAACGTGCAGCTAATTTATGTCAAAAAGGTCAACATAAAAGTGAAGTACATTTCTGTATCAGTTCACAATCAAAGCTGTCACAGACTGAGCTGACTCAGGATACCATTTTGGGGGCAGATTTTTTTCACACTTCAATCTAATCTCAAATAAGAAACAAGTCTCCCCACTGAAATGTGAAGTCCCAAACTGCTGAAAGCCCTGGAGACGAGACCACCACACTGGCACCAGCCAGCAGCTGCCAAGAGCAGCAGTGGGAGAGCTGCGTGCTGTCACTGGCTGGGCACACTCGTCTGCTCCAGTCTGCCAGGGAAGCTGTCCCAGGTTGAAATTAGCTTCTTGGCCAGGCTCATTTGAACTTGGACTGGTTCCCTGATCCAGTTCTCCCCATGAACACGTTTGTTCTGTCACAAGGAAGGACCACTTTTCTGAGCTGGCACCACAAAGCATGTGTGGAATTACAGTAGAGATGGCTGAGCAGCTCAGTGTGCAAAGAGGGGTCTGAGCAGAGGGGCTGTACATGGTACTCAGCATCTGCAGTGCTGGGCTGCTGATACTCAGAGCAGTTCTCCTTACAGCAGCACTCTGAATTTTTGTTTGAAAGGCTTTTACAAAACTAAGACCTGTATTAAAAAGGTTTGAAATACCAAGTGCTGCGTGCTAACTACATGCTGGCCCTGGCAAGGAAGCTCTCCATGGCTCTCAGTGCTGTGCCTGGCACTCCCCTTTGAACCAAGGCACCACAGGAACCTGCATCTCCTCCAGAAAGCTTTAAGAATACAGATATCTCAGCTGGAACTGCACTCCTGGGATTCCCCACCCTGCTATCTCCTCTGATGAATACTCTGGGAGCCTGAAGATTAGGTTTTGCTGGTTCAGAGCCAAAATGACAGAGAAGGCCCTCTTAAATAGAAACAGCACTAAGCTCCTGACAGTTAAGGAGCCTGATGTAAAACACTGAGCATTGAAAGACCAGCAAAAAGCCCCACGCCCCAACAGTACTGTCAGGTCAGTGCTGTCATGCACACAGCTTGGCAATTTCACTTGCTTCAGTAATAGCCTGAGGGTATCACTTTTAATACAATTATAGAAACCTAATAAAAGTTTTCAGTACCATACATGCCTGGGTGCTGAGATTAAATTAGATCTCATTAGTAACATCTTAATGTCTTTAATAACTCTGATACTAATTTTAGTTTATCTCATCTCTTTCATCTTAATGCAAAATACCCTCACTGAAAGGAAAAGAAGAGGGGAAGAACACAGTGACCTAGTGGTGACCAAGTGGCACACTGCAGGCACAGGCTGAGCTCCCCTGAGACAGAGAGCACCCCACAGTGCTGCAGCAACCACCTCTGCTCAGGTGTGCACTGCCCATCAACAATGGGGAGACAACCTTAAGGGCAAACTTCTCCTTGAAGTTTATGAACAAAGCCATTCTATACACCAGAGAGAAAGCACCGTTTGAGAGAGAGGGAAGAAAAGTTCCCAACTGCATCATTTCAGCAACTGATCCTGCTAATTTCCCTCTAGGACTTACTTAACTGCATTGCCCAAGATGCCTCGCATTTCCTAACTAATTTCTTTTGGGAGGAATTTCTAGTACAACCTTCTCCTTAAGGCAGATCAAACTACATAAGGGCTTCATTCAGCCAAGTTTCAAGCACCTCCTAAGAAAAAAATAATTTAGCACTACCCTCATAGTAAAGCAAGTAAACTCAAAAATTAGATCTAAAGATAATCTCCCATGTTCCAACTCATGTCCATTGCTTCTCAGCATATCACCATGTGCCCGCAAGAACGTGACTCCACTTTCTCTACTTTCTCCTCACAGGTAGCTGAAGACAGCAGCATGACCTCCCTTAATCTTCTCTTCCTACAACTGAACAAACCCAGCCCTCTATTCCCATGTGCTGCAGCCCCTGGCCAGGATGGGAGCCCTCTGCTACACTCTGGGCCACAGATGTGAGACACCTGCATCCCAAGACACCTCTCCCTCTCTCTGTATTTCATTTTCTTATGTATTAACTTACTGACAGAGCAGAACACTTTCAACTGTACATGCCTGGCCTTCAGTTCCAAAAGGTTTATAGCTTTCCTAAACCAAATTAATTTTCTGCTTCAGATCAGATGGAAGGATTACTCTGCTGATTATGTACATTATTTTTCCATTCAAGTCCTTTTCCCTTGAGTGCTGGTTAAAACTGTGGCTTGGCTTTTTATTTTTTAAAGTGAGAAAACTACAGACTTTAAATCCTTACTGTTATTATAAAAAACAGGATAAAGACTCTTACTCCACTTTGAAAAACAAAGTCACATTCAGAAGAGCAGAAAAGAAAACGTACTACCTCAGTCTAAAGCATTAAGTATTTTGGAAAGCAACAATGATCCCTATTCAAAACTCCTCTGCAACCCTCAAGCACTTAATACATGCCAAAGGCATCACCTTCAGACACCTCCCTGTCACCATTATAAATTATTTAACATGCCAAATGCACAAAAAACTGTGTATCCTTACCTAACGTCCATCTGGCCAGCTCTGCTGAAATCAGCCACGGACTATTTTGCTCTGTTATTTAGGGACTTCATTGTTTTAAACTGGAAGGTTTTGGGCTCCGTTCTGAACTCTGGCACAAATCAAGTCTAAGACTGGACATTAAAGCTAGCTGAATCAGTATAATATCCTAAAAGCAGAGAGGCCTGTTTAGCAAACAAATTTAATTTCTTCCAAAAACTGAAGTTATATTAATTTTGTTAGCTGACCATGTAATTTAACAGCTGTGTCTTCAAAATGCTGCACACACTGCAGAAGCCACACTCTGAAACCAGAAAGCCAAACTTTTGACACACACTAATTGACCTACCTGCATCAACTTTTTCAAAGACAGGCTGATTTTTTTATTTATTTTTCAAACAAGCTGAGCCTCTAACTTCCACTGCACAGAACTCTAGTAAGCAAGCACCATGAGAGGACACCGTCAGAGCAATCTATTTTCTGACACTTTTTATTCCTTTGTATTTTGACAATCATTTCAACACTATTTCCAAACAAAGCTTTAGACCAAAGACCAAGATTTTAATGTTGTCTTCAAAGACTCCAAGATTGATTATGCCTTCGTAACACAGAGGAAGGTGCCAAAAGTACCTTGCATTGTGTCTGACCCAGCTGAAAAGAAGCCAACACTTCATCCTTCTTGAAACTCATCACTCTGGTGTAGCTGCTGCCTCAACTAGAGGAAAATTGCAATTAAACGCAAACTAACTGACGGTGGGAGGCCAAATCAAATGAAAAGAGAAGCAATTCTCAACGAGGGCTCCCCCTGCAACTCCCTCAGTGCATGAGCAGAGCCCACACAGCCACATCAGGGAAAGGGAATGCAGCCACTGCAGGCTCTTGGAAGTTCGTGAGGTCCTTAGGCAGCTCTTGTGCCCCAGCAGTGATAAAGGCATCATCACCTTCACACCTGCAAGACAGCTGTCAAGAAACTCATCCACAGAAATACAAGCCATCCTCACCTAGCAGGGAGCACAGCTCCCTGTGCATAGCCTCATACCACACC